ACTTTTCAACATATCATGTAGTAGATTTACAGAAAATGAAAGAGGTCTTGAGCTATTTAAAGTTTATTTAATCACAAAAGGCACCAACATATGGGATTTGTAATATCTGAAGAACAGGAAGTACAGGCAAATCTATTCTGAAGGAACAGTGGCAACCAGCTGGTGCACGTCATGGTCAGCAAGCATGAAAAAATGAAAAACAAACTGGAAAAGAAAAACTTCTGCATCATCCAGAACAGATCGAAGCTATATTGTTAATACAAGCTAAATAAAATGTAGCATATCAGAAGGCATTGGTGTACTTGTTCCAAGAAGGCACTTGTTGCCAGCTCTTGAAATACCCAGGGGTGCCTTTTGGTGGATAGTAAAAGCATGTGAACCAGCCTTTTTTCTTCATTTCTTTCTGTCCATTCCTTTTCTTTTTTTCTTTTGTTCCTCTGTATGTCTTTTGTTAAGTCCAGTTTGCACCAGTTGGGTGCCCTGGTTGCTCTCTAAAGCACTTTTTCTGAAGTGTTCCATTTGCAGTAATAAGTTACTACCTTTCCAATTGATGAGCATGATAACTACTGGTTCTGGCTTGGTGAAAGTCACATGATAGTTCTCAATAAGGCATACTGAATGCAGCCATGATGTGTTGCTTAATCTCTCCCTAAGATCCAGTGTTAGAGACAGACAGTCAGTCAGGGGTCCCTGGCTGGCTTCCCTGCTTTGCTCTGCCACTCACTCCCAGGATGTATTCCAGAGGCCTTTGCCCAGATTTCTGCTGTGATGAGATCCTCCCCCTCCCCTCCTTGCCTTGTGAAGCACCTGCTTTGACATATGTGATACAACACCAAAAATCAGTGACATTAGTATTCAGAGTGGAGGAGGTCACCTCACATCTTAGGATGAAGTGGCTGAGGGGGTCTCCCTTTCTTTCACACTTTAAAAGCATCATTAACTGTTTATCACAGTTAGAGATAAGCAATATTTCTCTTCCTAGCATAACTATGCTTGTACGTGTGATAGATGTACCTCTTGGTAAATTGTGCCCCCCAGTTGAGATCAATGGCATTCAGGAGGTATGATTTTCTCTCCTGTTTCCATGCTACAATGTCCCTTCTCAAATTTGAGATGGTACTTCTTTCTTTAAAGAAAAATGGCAAAGGTGAGGGATGGAGGGCACTGCATGGAGTAGTTGGAGGTTTTGTCACTTTTTCCAGACATCTCTATCCCTCAAGCTATGCAGAACCTACACTGACAAGTTTGCACGCCACAATTGTTGCTGTTATTATTCACTGAAATTTTATGCTGCCCAATAGCAGAAGCTTTCTGAGCAGTTTGTAACAACCTTGAAAACAAGTCACTTTGAACAACCCAGCAATAAGCCAAGGATATTAAGTCATGATTTCTTGGAGCAGAGACAGAAGTCTCAATAAAACTTTTGACTGAGGCAGTTCTAGTAATTGGTTATAAGTCTTTATAGCCCCAATAAAGATCTGCAGTTAACAGATCACAATGAAGATGGAGACAATTCACAAGCATCACAAGATTCAACTTGCCCTGGATTTGGCACACAGAACAAGTTCCAATAAGTTCACAGCCTCAGAGAAATCAGGCCTTACAGGTTTAGCAATGTGTTGTTTCCAATGAAGTCTACCACATGTTGCTCTGGTTAGATAAAGGGGAATGCTCATAAAATCACTACCGGGCATTCAGGCCTGGCAGAAAAGCCTGGCTGGGCCTTGTTACACCCCTTTGCCCTACCCTCTTTAGTTGGCAACACACTAGGATACCTACTATGACCCCTCTTCTCCTGCACTCCTGTTTTCATGGAAGATACCACAGGTGAAGAGAGAGAGGATTTCATGAAGGTCAGTTTTCTCAGCTGTGGAAGATTGGCTGCATCAATATCCTGTGCCTCATCCCCACATGGCTCTTTAGCCAGTTAGACTTCTGGTGAAACAGAATTCTCAGGCATCTGGCTTCCCATGGCTGGACCTAACTACACTGACTCTGGTGCCACAGGCTATATGTTCACCTGAAGTGGAGCAAGGTCTGACACTCAGGGTTGCAAACCTTGTTGAGGGAACCAGACTGGATTCAGAATGTCATGTCAAATCACCCTGAAGTAAACAAGAGTGACAAAACCCCATGAGCAGTTGTGTTATGCCAGCTGGATTCTCAGTGTGTCTCTATCACCACTTTTTGTCTTGAGTATTAGCAATATATTGATCATATTGGAACTCATCTTGAAGCAGTCATACTCTTGGTGTCATGATCCAGGATTCCTCCCTTTGCACATCCAAAACCACAGACCTTTCCTGCAAAATATTCTTTATTGACCAAAGTGTTTTCTAGAAGCAACACCTAGATTGAATTTCTGAGCATGCACAGAGCAGTTCATTGAACCCAATCTAACATTCACTTCCAGGAACTCTGCTTATGAGCACGCCTGAGCCCCATCCCTTCAGGATGTGCCGTCAGAAAATGAGCATAGCTCCTCTCTGTGCACGAATCTAATTGAGCCAACATTGCATCATGGGCTCAAGAGCCATATCCACCTTGTCTCTCTCTGAAAAACTCTACTGTTGCAAGTGTCCTCCCGGTATCTGTACATCTTGGTTATTTCAATAGGCTGCCTCTCCACTTGAGGAGTCTGGCCTTGAGATAACTGTCGCAGCTTTTCTTAGCTCAATGTCTGGAATTGGCTCACATTCCAAAGTACCCCCATGCTCGTCTGCGTCTTCTTCCTCCTCCTCCTCCTCCTCAATCCCCTCTGAAGTCCAGCCAGCATGCCTTGATAATGTGTGCCCAGAGCAGCTACTTTGCTCACTCCTAACATTTGCCGTGCCAAGCCAAGGTTTCTAAAATGTCAACATCTAAAAAATCTCCAACTGAGCAAGCCCATGCCAAATGCTTACATTCTGTTGGTCTTGTAAAAGGTAAAATCATTCTAGTATTCAACATCTGGACCCAAACGAGAAACATTAAGGAATTCAAGTAAGATCAGGTCATTATGTAAATCGCTAAAGGGAAAATTAGGGGTGACATCTATCCCAGATGGAGTAATTATTTGCCTGATCTTTCTGACTCTTATAGTTGTTCACGATGTTTAGCTCCAAGTCCTTGGGATCAAGGGGTTCTTCTCTTGGTTACTGCTACCCCTAACTATGTATACCTGGACCCCTATCCAATGGGAACCTCTTCAGTAGGAGTGTATGAGGACTCTATTTTGGGGGTGGGGATCCATTGGATTCCCTGGGCTTGGTTCCTTGGACTCTGGCCTGCTTTCTTATGGTTATGAGTCTGCCTGTCTGGCAAGCACACTGTGCATTCACATTAACAGCCCCACCCACGGGCAGTGAGCCTGTACAGATGCTGCACATATACTGTGGAAGAAGGTTGCAGGTTGTGTAACTGGAGTTCTGCAAGTGCTCACAGGGTGCCTAAGCAAGGGCAGAGCACAAGTCCAACAAACAGAAGAGGGACAGATTCCATGGAGGACCATCACAACCCTATGCTGCAGTATTGGTTCTATCAGTTGCTATTGTACCATCAGGACTGCAGATCCCCCCCCCCTCCCAAATTTCTGTAGAAAAGCCCTGGGACTCACACACTGGCCATATGCATCTCACTTCTATTGGGATGGGAATTCTTGCTGCCATCACAAGAATAATTTTCTTTTGAATTGTAGAGTACATATCTTAACAACTTTGTGATGCTCAGTTTTGAAACGTCTTTCCTGATACCATATCTTGGAACTAAAGTCCTGACATGGTTATAACCTCTTTGCTACAGAGTTGAATCTATTTTCTACCTCCTCCTTTTGCCACCTCACCGTTACTAGCTGCACACAGTTCAATCATTTTGTTGCTACCTGTATGACCACTCTTCTGATATGTTGGTATTGACCTTGATAGTAATGTCTGCGTCTTTGTTACAGAGACATCCTTTGCTGCCTGCCATATTGCCAGTATCCTCTTTGGCCTTGGTAAGTCATCCAATACTATGTTGTTCTTTCACTGGAGGCCAATTAATGGCTATTGAACTTGGAGACTCTCTTTTCAGAGACCTGGGGCCATTGGTAAAGAACCTGGGGTTTCAGCTGCTCCATCTAGATACTACTGTACCCATCACTTTCACTATGTCAGCTATTCTGCTCCAGTTCTCTAGCAAACCATGGAACAAGATCTATTCCATGCCTCCTATATCTAGATGGGGCTGAAATATTAGTATGCGCATGGCACTCAGCAATTTTATTATATTAAGCAGCATAGAAGTGCATGGAAGTATTATTAAGAAATAAAAACTGGCTAGATAACTTATGTAGAGTATAACAGACAATCCAAGTTTCCTCTTCAAGCATCCAACCTCAAATGTCATCACTGTTTAGGGCAGGTCAAACAAAAAACCTCACTCACCCCATAAACATTTTGAAGACTGCACAAAGACCATGAAGAAGGAAAACAAGTTGCTTACCTGTAGCTATGTTTAAGTGCTAACCTGTGTAGTTATACAATCCCTGTTCCTTTATGCTACAGTTAACCTGTGATTCTCCCTATGGTTGCTGAAGTGGAGTGCTCAGTATTGACCAGGAAGGCAAGAACCATGTATACTGAGAGCTGGGTGGTCTTCTGGCCAAAATTCTTGCCTAGCACCATAAGTCATTTGCACCTGCTAATTGCATCCTCTTTCTTGTTACCCCAATGACATTCAACTTTTTCTTTTGTGTGTTTTAGAAGCCTGTTTGCGCTCTGTTTTACAATGTAGCTTAATTTATTCCTAGTTTCCCTAACTTTTTTAAATAAATAGGCACTGCAAAGGATTGGAAGTTAAAATTTTCTGCATCTTAGACATGCATTTGTAACAGCAGCAGGAAATCTGTTTCAGGCAAGAGATTTATAGTAAAATTTATATTGTAATTGCCTTCTTTTTCCCAGTGAAATGGTGTGATGTCATACTGTCTCCTCCCACTGTGTAAACTTAACTCCTGTCAAAGTTTTGCTTCCTCTGTGACAGAGAGAACAGTTCACTCTACTGCAGCTGCATTACCTTGTATGACACTCTTCAGCATCTTTATCTGTGCAAGTTTGGGTTTGAAACATGATCTCAAGGCTGGTCTTTCTACTGTTCTGTGGAAATATTGCACTAAATCTTGGAAATGTTCAGAAATTGCCAAGAGGCAAGTAGATGTGATTTTTTTAATATATGTATTTGGGGGGAAATGCTTGGTCTTAATGAAGCAACCTTGCTTTCAGCATGTATGAAAGAATTATGAACATGAAAGAGAGAGATGTAATGGGGAAAGGGCAAAATCACATAGTAGAGAGAAGTTTTTAACTACTTGTATAAATAAGGCAAAGAATTAAAATAGCTTTTTTGTTCAGGATTCAAAATAGAGCATCCATGCTGCAAACAAATGAAGATTAGTTTTACATGTGTTCTTGGGCATTTGCTTTGTATGCTAATATGTGAGGTGACTACTAGGACATTTTGAGATTTGATTTTACACTGAGATAAACATTCTGTTTTCTTCCTCCCCTCAAGTACTTACATTTTATTTTTTTAATGAAATCCATGTTTGTATGATGATAATAAGCAAGAGGTTTGCAGACACTGCACTGGATCTTCTTCTCTATAGATTGAAAGAAAATATGCAAACACTGAAGTACTTTCCTTTCCCACACTATTCCCCTTAAACTGGATCTTCATTGCATCTTGTATTTTTAAAGTGTTTGGTTGCTGCAAAAGAAGAAGACATACTGTAGCATTCATACCACATTTCTAATTCTAGACCAAGAAGTACTTTGTAACACCTTGGCACTAAAGCAGAACTTCACAACCTTTTGTGTACTTCAAATTCAGCTGTTGACTTTGACTTTTTTTAAAAGTACATTGTGTGCTTTTTACATGCATGTGTGCAGTGAACTTCAAGCTTATATGAGAAACGTGTGTGTGTGTGTGTGTGTGTGTGTGCACGCTGTTCAGCTGCTTGGAGAAATGCTAACTCAGAAAATGGGATCCTTCAAGTTGTCCGTACTACATAGCTGAGCTCAAGACAGCAGCAGTCTCCCACCTGTAAAACAGTGAATTACTTTCCACCTGAAAATATGTATGTTGGTTTATTTATCCCCTACTGTACCCCCTAAAGTTGAAGTTTTGCTCTTTCAGAATCAAACAGATTTCATAGTTTTATAAACTATATATTTCCATTACTGGTATGAAAGCATTCCTTCAGTGTGGAACTATACCTCAAATTCTGAAACCTCAAAAGATTAGAGAAGTAAACATAGGTTGGCAATTAGCAGTGCCATTACACTCCAGAGTTAAGTACTATGTATTGTCTGTCTTTGGAACATGGATCATTTCCAGATCACAAACCTTGCAGATGGCTTTATTTGTCTTTCCAATCCACTTTTGTGGGACTAGAGCCATAACTATCCTTAAGTGTAGAATACTGGCAAAGACAAATGCTTTGCATTTTATGCTTCAGTCAGTGGGAATATTCTTCTAGTAGAGAAAAGCAAAAGTACAAATCTGTGTCTCAAATTAAGTTGCAACTGGAAGTCCATATGGTTTCAAATTATTCTCCTTTTTGCAAATAAACAAACACAAACAGCTATTCCACTAGATAAAAGTGTAATATGAGATTATTCTTACTAGGTCAAGTATTCTGTTGTGTTGGTTATTTGAGGATGTTCTGTGGCTCTGTGTCTTTTGTTAAAGCACTTAAGTTTGACTTTAGAATAATACAAGAATTGTCTCTTGGATCCACCTTCTTTGTCAAAAAAAAAAAAATTAAGCCAATTACTGTAAATAATTTATACTTCCTCTGGTAATGTCTAATCCCATTCACAGATTTCACAGATAAAAACAGTGTTAGGACTTTAATTAAAGAGTTCACTTTAACATCACTTCATAATCCCTGTGTGATCCCTATAGCATCTTCCTGCCAGATTTATTTTTGGGTAGACTTAACAATTTTAGCTTCTGAACCTTCTCCTGCTGGGTCCTAGAATCCAAGCACTTAGTTTTCCACTCCAGGATGTGAAGTCTTCTTATTCCTGGCCTTATGTCATGAAATTGGATTTCCTTTCCCTGGTACAAGCAAGGAAAGAAAATTTGCTTCCTGCAGCTGTAGGAAAGAAAGCCAAGAAGACTCTCAGATGCCAGTTCCTTATGGAACATTGGGGAAACTCTTCACACAGATACACTATTCTTGAAGCATCGACATGAACTACTTCCACCTGACTGAGTATGATAAGGGGAAACATCTGTTTTAAAATGTCAGTTTTTGGATTTGTCAGCAGGGAAAATACTACTTTCTGTAGGAGTTCTTGGAAAGTGGATTGGATATTTAGAGAAGCATGATGGAAAGAGAATAATTACTGTTAAGTCACTACATGAAAACCAAATTATACAGATGCAAAAGCAGGTGTGCAATGGTTAGACCATTATGTTCCACATGCCTGATTTTGATAGCTTGTCTTAATGCCACATATATGACTTTGACAATATTTGCAATAAGAAGGTATGAAGTTACTGCAGGTAGAAGTATAATTTTTATTTCTTCATCTGGATCCTTCCAAGCACAAATGGTTTTCTTGGGAGAATATAAAAGCCATGGCTCCACTAATCACAAAGTGCCATTCCTAAAATCAGTTCAACAGAGGGAGAACCTCTGCTCCCCAGAATTCACAAGAAAAAAAAAAAAATCTTGCCTTAGTGAAAAAGTACTATTACACAGTTTGCCATGAGAAAGGAATTTGTGCTGGTGTCATGAATATCTGTTGATCAGTGCTTTTCATAATCATTGGATGGTGCATGTAATATAAATCTTTCACACACTTAACCATGACATTTTATATCTCACATAAATTAAAATATTCTTCTTTAATTTTTCAAATTTTCTGTATCTTTCTGTCTGTTGGTGGCACATATATCTCTAGAAAATATAGAAGATATTTCATTGTGCCTATTTATCTCTCAGTTATAAGAATAATGTTGCACCTCTATATTCTGTGGGAATGAATCAATTCCATGAGCACTGAGGTAAGAGAGGTACAGCCATTTTGGACAGGAGCAAAATAATGTAAAATGTACAAAAAACTTTTGGGGTAAGATCACAAGCACCAGTTAGTCACTGCCCATGAAACCTATGCAACGTCAGTGATAAAACTGGTGTGGGGAGCACTGGTGGGTGGTGGGTGGGGAATCTGAATGTTAACCAAGAAGAAAATTGCATTTTCTCAGCAACAGCAATTTCTAGTTTGAACACTGGGAAGCATTTCCCCAGAACAAAGATGCTAAGGAGAAACTATCTTTAGGTCTTGCAGCAAAATTTAAATGTCCTACTTTGGACAACATCCAGCTTTCCTTTTCCAGCTGTGTAGGCGGAGTACGTTCCAACCTTCCTCCGCACATGAGAATGCCCTAACATAGGAACCAAAGTGGTAAATGTAGCATTGTTTGGCTGTGTGGTGACAAAAGAATACATGTAGAAGGAAGATTGGTGCTTATAATAATGCTCGTTTGTCACTCAGTATACAAAGAAGGGAACAGGTGCCCAAAAAACACCTGAGGGTAGCTTCCTAAAAGTAACAGCCAACATAGTACATTAAGCTATGGATCACCTGAAGTTTACTTTGGTTTGCATCAAAGTAATTGCGAAGACAGCAAAAGCAAGGTCCATCAAACAGCCATTAATAATTTATTTTCAGATTGTTCTTTCTGCATTAAGTCAGTTTTAATTGGACCTTTGGTTTCCTAGAGATAAATGTGATACACATATCTCTAGGATGCTAACCCTGCATCTAAGAATTCATGGCTCATTCTTGTGTTGTTCAGGGTACTTAGAGGGACTTATCATGACATACCAACTGGTTCGTTGTGGCATTTGCCCACTTCACAACAGCCTGCAACAACCAATATAGCCCTTTCCTTTTTCTCTACCTGTTTCTTCACCAGAATCTCATTGGCTTTCAATGAACTTTGAAAAGGCCTATTCTTACCTCTGAGAACAAATGGGATAAAATAAACTACTGTGCTGATTTCAGGCCACATATTATCCATTGCGCTATTTAATACTTAAGATATTCTCCAAGTGACTGTTGCTAAGACTTGGGCATTACAGAATGAGCACTGCAGAATTCCAGGTACCTGAGCATAAACCAAAATGGCATTACAGTTTATAAAAGTTTTACTGAGCTATGCCATTTATTTAACACCCACACTGTGTTCACCCTTAGCAGTGCTGTTGCCACCAGCATTCTCACCATCTGCTACCAAGTTTACATAAGTGCAGTAGGTATGATGACATGCCTGTGCAGCCTTGGCAGGTTGCTTATGTTGGCTGCAAAGAGTCAACTTCATTTCAAGCTACCACACAGATAAGTTGATAAAATTGGCTTATCAGTTGTTCTGATAGTTCCACTGGAGGGTAGTGTCAGTAGAGACATGGGATGACTTTCTCTCAAAACTATTTTAAGTATGACAGAAGGAACATGCTACAATTTCTCTGAAAGCTAGGCAACTCATTTCCCATGAAAGGTGTTCATTTCTGTAACATCCTGTAGTTTCAGGGAAGTGATGTAACCACCAGTTTTGGATATAGCCCTTAAGGGATTTGTATCAACCAGATAAAAATGCCCAACAGAAACAAGCAGCAATGTTTAAAAATATGATGATGTGGCTGCAGCTGGTAGGATAACTGAAGAGGAGATGGAAAAACTAGGGCTAATTATAGATTGTAATTATATCTAAACCGTGTGGAAAACTGAAGTGGAAGACCATACACTGTTACTAAAGAGCAGTATTCATCCACCATTTTATTTTTCTAGTACCATAGCTCAAACTATTTTTGTTGGCATAATTCAAATAACTTTTTCAGTTGCCTGTATGGATATGATCACGGGGTAGCCCCACTTGCCATTCATTTATTGTTGGACCTCCTGGGATTTGAACACTGAACCTTTTTGTTTTCATTCTAGTCTTTGCCTCATTCTCATTTCTCTGCTGGGAGCCCTACAAAGTAAAAAAGGTAAATTATAAGAAGTGCTATCAATCCCACAGAAAGCACACCACCTCAAGACTCCCATCTTGATTGTTTGCCTAGGAATTGCACTTCCAGGACTACCACATTCTTTAGTATGGTCTTAATCTCTCAAAGAATTTTTGAGTTTG